CAATTCAATGAACTTTGTCCTGCATTTCACCAGAATACTTATGACCCATATTGGGTACAGCAGAGCTGTTAATGAAACTGGAACAGTATAATTACAACACACTCATCCTTGAAGATGCAGGCAGATGTGGGGAAGTGTACTTCGTTTGTCTCATTGAAATACCATTGCAAATTACCTCTGCGCTAACTACATTTAAATAGGAAATAAAGGGAAAAAAAAATCTTCCTCGATAATGACAAGACAAGAATATCCATAAAAAGGAAATAGAGATGACATACCTCTTTGCCTGTGACATACATGTTTTACATGGCTTAGGGGCTTTGCTTCCTGAAAGTTTACATCGTCAACTGTCAGGGCCCTTCCATGCATGATTTATGTATGCATAATAAAGACATTGTGGTCGAGGAACTGATCTGTGATTTCCAACAGCTTTGAAACTAACAGTAATAAAGTATACAGCATATGAATAATATAGGGTTTAGTTAAAAAACATCAAGTTTTGAAAAATGGGAGGCATGTTTATTTTCCATTGCTCCATCTGCTCTTTTTTTTTAAGGCAAATTGAATGACAACCATTAAGGGAGACAGGCCAAAGATTTCCAATCCAGGGGCCAGGCGGTGCACAGAGCACTACACGTGCCCCCTCACTCCCATTGCAGATCCCAGGCACTCTGTGAGAGAGCAACTGGTAGTACAAACCCAGTGCGAGTCATCTCACTTCAGATTTAGAAGAGGACAGACCGTGAAGCTCTGGGAACATGCATTTAAATAAGCTCTTCCTAAAATTTCATGAGACTTCTTATACCACTTTTGCAGCAAGGCTCGTGTACCAGTAACACTGGCTACTAGCGTTATTTTGCAAGAGCGTCGAGAGGCCATCAGCAAAGATTACTGCAGGCATACACACACCATGCAATGATGAGCAGTGTTGTGATGGCTCTCAATCCAGTGAGTCTTGCTGAAATACATCGCATCCAGCTCATTAGCCTGCATGCATTCCTGCCTTGCACAGATAACCGGGCTAGGTTATAGAGCTGGTTTTCATGGTGCTGCTGTCGGCTGTTGGCAGCACAGCACAGATGCACTGGAAGAGGCCACATCCCTTCTGAAAATCTCGTTAATTCAGAAACTAGATGAAAGAGGCCTTTTTATTTTATATGATAAAATCAAGATACAGAAACTCAGTGATTTGGACAGAATCATGTAGGAAATCTGTGCTAACCAGTCCCTAATTCCTGCGTTCTTGTCCATCCCCATGAAATTGTTGATTTTATGCTGATAGAGCTTTCTCGGATGTCTAGGGAAAATTTACTGGTGCTGTGTTGCCGTCACATTTCAAAACTTGCCCCTGTTCAGGTTAATGAAGTGAAATGGAGGATTAGATCATGCTTAATGACAACAAGAACATGGCAAAGGTGCAAAACCCTTCAGGAGTTATCTCCAAATCTACATTAAAGTTCTCATTTGGCTCCATAAGCAGGAAAAGCGGACAGAGGTCCTTCATAGCCTCAGAACCTATTTTAATTATCCTCTCCCTGGATAATTATTAACGGGGGAGGAGAAAACTGCCTGCAAGTGTAAATGCTAATGGGTTCCCCTGAGAGCACGAGTCCAGAACATCAAGGAACATATGATGGGTTAACAGCCTCTCCAACACGTTGCTGCTGGCTTGGAGGGGGGATGCCGCAGTTGAGATGCTGATGACATTCCTCAATGACTTGAAGACTAAACTGCATGTCTTTATAAAAGCAAAGCTGTTCCTGCACTGAAAGATTCAAGGGGACAGGAAATTGTGTGGCTAAAACTTGGGCTTTTGACATAGTCAAATGCTGTTAGAGCGAATAAGGAAGGGAAGGTAGAAAGGGGATCTGAAGGAGATGGGAGCTGTGTCTTCACCACTGGTTAGGGTGCTGCTTTTTAATAACAGCCCTCCGATTGATTTCTGAAGTGGAAGGAAGCCTCACGACAAAGCAGAGAAGGGAAACCAGTTCATACTTGCACCGTGATGACAAAACTTGTTAGAAAAAATAAAACCCCAGACACTTGTGAGACTCAACATGCATCTGTACCTCGAAAAAGTCAGGTCCTGAGGTGTTATCTCAGGTCTAGCGCATCAGGTCTTTGTTAGACCATTAACTAAGGATATTATTTGAAATCACCCACCTCCCTGTTAGGTGTTCCAGGTGCCAGATGAAAAGCACATTTGAAGGGGTTGTGATGAGCAGGCACTGACTGTGTTAAAAATAATGCTTTTCTCCAGAGCCTTGAAACCAATTCTGCTGTGCTTGAAGGGAATTTAGCACATAAGTGCCAGTGCAGAAGATGGAGTCAGAGGAAGTGATTTTTCCACTTTCTCAGGTGTTTTCCCCTGAGGTCCTCCCTCCAGCAGAAAACAGTCTGCAGAAAAGCCTTTGCATGGAGGTGGTATCGGAATATAAGAACAGTTTCTTTGGTAGCCAGTTTGCTCTGAAAGTAACTTAAAATGGGATTTCATATTTGTTGTTCCTCCTAAATTTTATGCATTGAGTTCACAAGACTCTTTTTTCAACCTCTCCCAACTCATCACCAAATCTAAGAGCTGGCTGGAGTTCATCCCAGCTCAAACCCAACCCTTGAGCTGCCTAGTGAGCACTGAGGTCAGTCCCACCCTTGCAGTTCAGCCCCTTTCCCACCATAGGACCTCCTGGAGGGCCCCATGAAGCCAGGGGCAAAGCTCAAGGCAATATCTGGGAACAGATTGCTCCCTGGCCACCGCACATGAACGTTGGGTCATTCAAAGGCACATGAGAACAGAGTGGTTGATGTAGTAACAGATGGGCACATGAAAGCTTAGGAGAATTACCCCAGATTGGTTTGCAGGCATGTTTATCACAAATTGAGTCACGTCTTCTCTGCATTTTATACAGGGAGGATGGTTTGGATTCTCACCCATGTCCAAGCCCTCGGGGTTGTCTATAAAACACCATTATTTCTACATTAAGACTAGAGAGAAGGCTTCCACAGGCTGTCTAGAGGAGGACTAATAAGGCTGAATGCTCTTAGAGGCTTTATGAACAAGACAAAACCTGGTGCACTGTTTTCTAAGACCTGTCTACATATGGGCCCTTTGGAGATTGGTACAGAGAGTAACCAAACTAGCTCCTGAACCAGCAGCTGCCTCTCGGCTAATTAGTGCCCTGGGGACAATTAGTCTGCTCACATCACCATATTGCCCTGACTGTCATGCTTTCAGGGCCCAAAGCTGGTGTCTTGGCATGATGGAGACAGGACCCTGGCTGTCCCAGCTCTGAAAAGTGGACGGGGTAAAAAACTGCTGGAAGGCAGCAGGTAGGAACCTGCATGCAGGATGAGGAGAGGCAGGGGTGCTGGTGCTGAGGACTCACGGTCAGAATTGGACCATGCCGTCATGTCCCCCTCCCCAAATCACACAAGACTAATTTAGGCAATGCTGCCTCTCCTGTGCTGCTGTTCTCCGTAACAAAGACATAATGCTACAGCTTTCTCCCCCTCTGTCTTCTGCAGCTGTCACCACCTCATGCCAATAGTCCAACATAGGAGTGTTTTGAGCGAAAAAGCCCTGCTTGGATGATCATGCTTATCTCAGCTGAAAGGCTTTCAAAGCCCAGCTTAGCCAAAATATGTGTGATACACACCATGAGTCCAATCATCCCCCTTATAGCCATCTATGAAGAGTTGTTTTTTAGAACTGAGCTTTTCCATTATCATTTTCTTCCATTCTTGTTTCAGCTCACTAAACATTAACCACCATGACCTACTGCATAAACTCAAACCATATTAAACAGATTAGGTTTATAGCCAAATCCTAACACCCTATTTGGAGAATGGCTACAATGCCTGGCTGTTTCTACAGTTCTGTGGGTTGGGGTTTTTTTTGGGCAAAGTTAAATGTTTTTACTTGACTGAAACATTTTGGGTGTGTTTAACACCACTCTGCTAAAGCAAAACACATAGACGGAACCAATCCATTTATTTAAGAACAGTACTAAAAAATAAAACAAACATAAGCCCCAAACCTATCTGCAATGTACATGCAAAACTTGTAAAAGGAACTGACAAGTTTTTATGAACTGGCTTATATATATGTGTGTATTTACATTTTATTCTCATGGATTGTATTTATGTCAGAACATAGGAAATGGCCTCTACCTTTCAATTTACATTGTGGCTCAACATAATCACGCGCTTTCCCATGGATAACAACCCACCACTCCTAACAGAGCTGCCAGCAAGCTGATACAGAAAAGAACGTTGCTGAATATCACAGTTTTAGTTTTCAAAGGAAAAGGCAAGGGAAGGCAAGGGGAAAAAAAGCCACGTAGGATGATATCAACTGACAAAAGGATAAATGACAGGTCCGACAATTCAGATAAATCATCATCAACTAGGGGCATTCTGAGCAGTGTCTCCACAGAATCAGTCCTATGCTTGGGGCTACCAGATGTTTTCATCAGTAACCTAGGATTAGATATAAAGTCACCGCTGATAGAATTTGCAGCTGATGAAGATTGGTAGAAGTATAAATAACTGCAGGGACAGTGTAAGCTAGATCACTGGTGAAGCTTGGCTTATTCAGACAAAACATGTTTTAATACAGCCAAATGCAATGCAGTCCATGCAGGAACACAGAATGCATACTTTGTTCCTATCACATAGTTATGAAATTTCATACGTAGGAAAAGGACAACCTTCCTGCAGGCAAGGAATGTGAGGGATGTTTATATGGGAGAGGTCACGATGGGTGAGTAACTCAACCTGAGCTTCGCGTCGTGCTGAGACACAGCATTCCTGGTTGTTCCAGCACATGTAGCGATGCCTGAATGGAGAGAGATGACTGCTGCGAATGGCAGGAGGGAGGTCCCAGCAAAGGTGGCTGACCTCGGTCCGAGGGGTAGCTTTCAGCTTCCCATCATCAGGAGTAGTGCTGTGTCGTGTAAACCCTGTTGTCCTCCAGACAAGAGCTGGGAAATGAGAACTAAGGAGCTCAAGCCAAAGAAGCTATGCGTTCACAGCAATACATTTGAAAGAATTTTAATTAAAATCTTGACTAAATTATATAGTCAGCGAACAAGGAACGTGATATAAATATGACATGAGGAATTCCTAAATGGGTGAGTATGAATGATATTGCTTAGAAGGTACAAATGACACGGTTTACAAAGAATTAAAGTCTATACTATAGGTAGTACTAAGGAGCCCAGCCTGCTTGGAACTGAGTTTTACCTAAGTGCCTGTGATCCAGAGACCAAATTTTCAGCAAAGATCTTGGAGCAGACACGGACCTCTGTCTGACCGTGAGTTCAGGGCAGGAGGTCTCCACTGGGAGCTGAACATTAATTTAGATCTAGATAAGGCAAGCAAATCTACCTAACTTGTTATTAGTGGCCATGCTTATTACATTCTCCCTGCTTGTGCAACGCCCTGATTCATCTCTTGTTTCTGACACATCCCGTTTCTGACTTCTTTCCACCTGTTTTTCCCTTACTGGCATTAGTCAGCTAAACGTACCTGAAGGCACAACCCACACTACTACAGAATAATTACTTCTATGGCCATTAGTCTGCAGAGCCAAGATGCATCTAAATCTATAGGTATTTATCTCTATGTATATATGCTATATGTACTGTATATATACTCCATATACTGTACTTCAGGGCCTTTAATGTTAGAAGTCACAGTCCTTTCTTATATGCATATTCCCACTTCAATAGAATCCGATTGCAGCCCTGCACCTGCGTACAAAATCAGGGTGAGTGAAATGGTAATGCTGCATGCATCCCAGTTTGCTTTCTTTCAAGCACGTAAAAAAAAAAAAAGGAGAAATCTCAGAAAAGAGCCACATAAGGACAGGAGAAAATTCCTGAGAATGAGAGACTTTTCAAACTCATCCTGCTTACTTGAGCAAGAAGATGGAGAGGTAATTTGACTACTGGAGAGATATTTGTGTGGCGAGAAGAACCCGTTTGGAAAAGGGCTCTTTAATCAGACAGAGGAAGGCATGAGAGGGACCAGTGTGATTTAGAGTGAGATTAACTTTTTGCTGAGGAGGGTTACAAGCCAGATCAAACTGCTGAGGAAAGTGGTGGGTTCTCTGTTTCTCCCTTCCTGCAAATCAAGGCTGGGTGTCTCTCTGGAAGAGAATTTTCACTGAACATCAATTACTGGGATAAATCTTGGGGGCAGCTGGGTGAAACTTAATAACCTGTGACATAGGTGATCTAAGCAAGACGATCCTTTGGCCTTAATATCCCTGCATCTTGGGAATGGTGAAGAGCAGAGCTCTATATAGCAATGGAAACATAAGCAGAGTGTAAATACTGGAGGGGCAGAGCAATTAGGTCCAAGCAGTTAGGACGAGGAGTGCCGTATCATTAATTTTTTACACCTAAATGTCAGCTGGATGTTAAGTGGATGTTTTGGGACCACGGGGGGTGGCATAAAACTTTTATACACAGAATAGATGAACATAAGCCTTACTGCATTACTCGGCTTCTTTTATGATCTCTCCTTCCCGTACCTTGAGCTCTGGGGAAGGAATGTGCTCCGCCCAAAGAGGAATTACATTAAACAAGGACAAGGTGCCGTGCAGGTACCTTGCAGCACTGGTAATTCCCTTTCAGCTCAGTTTGTGTCTTGCTGTGTTTTTGTCATGAGGATACGGTATTTCGTGAGTGGAAGCAGCTATTCTACCATGCCTTCTCTCAGCTCACGGTTTGTTGCAAATATTGATGTTTTACTACATGGATGTTTTATTGTTGAATTTTCTGCTGGGCTGTTACTCGATTTCAGTAATGAATTCCAGCCTGCTTATTTATTTATTTACTTATTTTAAGGAGAGCTAACAAGCTTCACAAGAATTATGTGTTATAGGGAGGTATCTTAGCTAATCCAAAGAAGTAAATCTCAAGAGCAGGAAACCTCAGCATGTGAATTGAATTTTGTAAGAGACGCACAAAGTGCAATATGTTCTCGTCGTGGTAGAGGTCTTTACTGAGATAAAGAACTGCTGCACCAGGCAATGTGCACAGGCAATGCCATGCAAGACTCTCCCCATCCCATGGAGACCGCAGAAGGTCAACTGGCTGGGCTGACAGCTGGAGCTGCAAGATACTAATAAATAGCTTTCACTGGTAAATAAAAAAGTGGTTTATAAGGAAGGTCAACAGTCCTGTTTTAGGAAACTGAGGCACATAGCAAGGTGTGTCGCTATTCCTGAGGCCTCTTAGTAGACTAGCGGCAGTCACAAGCAAACTGGGCAGATTTCCTTGAGGAAAAATGAAGTCCCACACAATGCCTAGCAGAAAAAGTCTCTTTTGTACCAAAGCAGGGAAATCCCTCCTTGTCAGCAGCTGGCTGGGTGGACCACCCACCTCCAAAATATATGGTGCAATCGCTAAACACAAGATGCTTCACACTCACACATCCCTCCTCTTTAAAATACACCCAGAAGGCCTTTTGGATCCCAGATCTTTATCTGGAAATTAAATTTTGAGATGTGACCTATCAAAGTTGTCAGTAAGCAGGAGAGGGAGATCCCTTGCCAGCCTACTAGCTACATTTTTAGAGAGACATATCTTTCATTGGCTTGAATATTGATGAATCTTATTCTTTCTGAGTTAGATTTCTGATCTGAAAGCGAGTTCTTCTTTATTACTCATGCTTATTTCTCACTGGGACAATTCTCCTACCTCCTTGGCTATGTGAGGGTTAATGTGTAAATGAATGCTGGATGTCCTGCACAAGTAAAGTCTTATCCTAAATGCTGAATTATCTTCCTCACTTGGAACTTCTCTGAACTTCATAACTGAAAAGGTAGGAAAATAAAACAAGAAGAGGCCACGGAAATCCCAAACTCTAGGGTTTTTAATCCTTTGTTGCAAAGAACCAAAAGCATTCCTGAACTAGAGCAATTTTTAGTGAGAGAAAACATTGCTGATATTTTTCTGAGAATAATTGACCTTTATCCTTGCAAGATGAAGCTCTAACAACGTGCAGGGCAACACTTCCTTCTCTGTCTGTCACCAGACATCGAGCTCTCAGGAACACCTCTGCTTCCAGAACCGACTTCTCAGAGCTCAAACGTGGAGACCAAACGCTGCTACAACTCCAACACTCCAGCTCTTCCTGGACACGGATCTTCATGTAACCCAAAACTTACATCCCTGCAGCATGATTTCCTTCTCAGCGCTTTCTCACACACTAAAAAGGCCTTGAATGACTAGCTATGACAGCACCACCTCCTAAAACACGTCATGTTACCGTCTTTCTTGACTCCACACTGTGCGTTCCCCACTTGTACAAGTGAGCATTCGTACTGATTTGCCAAAGCAGCAGCAGAAACCTCCAGTATCATACTTCTGACACTGGCCAATGCTAGATATCCTCCAGATGGTAAAAAATAGTTTTCACAGGCCTTGGAGGCACTGATGTGGTACCGTACCAGCTGACACCAGCTATTGATTACCTAAACCTTGTAATTTTTGTTTTCGTTAATGTACGCCAGCTGCAGAGCTTACTGTCACATGACATATACAATTGTCTAATCTCTGCATTTTCCTCCAAATCAGGAATTTTTCTCAATACCAATCTATGATACCATAAAGTATCAAAATAATTATATCGGGCATTAGGATATTTGCTTTGTTCCTTTGAAATGCAGGCACAGAAGCACTTGGAGGACTACATGAGGTGCAGATGAACAATTTCTTTTAGAAGTATCATTCCAGTATATATATTTGTGAGAGGTCTTTTATTTATTCAGTTAAATCAGGAAAAATAATCATCTATCTTATTTTTTATCTTTAGAAGCAGTATAATATATGCTAAATCAAACATGTAATTCATCCATCTTTAATAGCTTTCTTTGTGCCATATAACTGCACAGCAGCTGCTTTGTCAAATGACCAAGAAATTAGAGTTTGGCAAAACAGTGGTTTTCATCAGCATATGACCTTAAGATAACATTTACATTTCAGGAGATGCTATTCCAGTCAGAACAGAACTGCAGGGCAAACTCACATCTCTGGATACTCATGGAGGCATCCGACAGAAAAGCTAATAAACGCACTAGATTAGTACAGTTTTATTTTCCATAAATCTGGGACATGTTCAGCAATGTCAAACTTGTTCCCGTGCCTTTAAATGAATAAATAAACCCAAGCTTGCTCTGAAGCTCAGAAGTGAGGTGGAATTCATTTAGCTCATTACCATTTAAATGATAGATGGACAGGGTAAACTCTTTTCTTTTGAGGCAGGGGATGGACAATGTGGAGACGAGAGCAGTGGTATTACATAGATGTGGGCTCCCAGGCTTAGATGATTGGATTCAGATGTTTCCAAGGAAATTATTTGCTCCAAAAGGGCTCTTTGGTTACTAACAGGTATAGCAATCATATTTAAAATGTTTTTACTCACAGTCAGGCTCCTATAGCTTCAGTCACATAGGATTTACTGGAGGGTTTATCCTTGGGCTGCTCTGTTGAGTGCAGAGAATTCAGGTGGGTGTTTTCAGAGGGTTAGGCTGCCAAGACATACAAAGTAAAAAACAACATGTTTAGAGGAGAAATATTTTGCTTTTGCCATTTTGGCTGTAATTTATTTCCTTCTTTTGCAGTAGGTCGTTATTTGCCTCTCCTAAATTGCAGGGAAATTCAAAGAGGAGAGAGGTAACAGGTAGGTTTTTTGTTTGTTCATTTATTGCCTGAGAAAAGGAGGTACCTGTGCAGCTGAGAACAAGAAGGTAAGATCTTCACACCTAGCCCAGGATGAGTGAGAAAGCAACATTTCACTATTTTGTCAATTAATTCAGTTCTCCAGCAGCCAAGTTCCCTTGAGAAGAAGGAATAAAATGATAATTTATTTGTATTGGTCTTATTTAAAAAAGAAAAAAAAGGACCCCAAAACAGAGGAGAGAATAGGAGATTTCACATGTGACACTTATGCTGCAAAATCTCAAATAGCTTGCTTGATTTCTGGTTTTCTTTTTACCTTGAAGGTCAATATAAACTCACCAAAAGTTTCCTGAGCACCCACAGGTCTCTTCTCACCAGTTTCTAGGGAGCTAACAGTGACTCGCTGACTCAAGTCAGAGCTATGGGCAACTTGTGGGTGTACAGGGCTCTGACAATATTTTGATCCCGGTATCAGACACAAGTGGTGGCATGAGGAGCAGGATGGAGTTAGTTATGGGAACAGGTCACACATCTTATAACTCTTCTTCATAATAATTTTTCTTCGTAACAAAAGAGCTCTTTAACAAGTTGTCACACATGGGTGTTTTCTCAATCCAGCCAGTGTTAGCGGCCTCCTGAGTGGTGACAAACTCTGCATCAGCCCTGCCAGACCCTAGGACAAGCCTTTTCCTATTCTTCACTTCTGAAGCCTAGACCTGGCTTTTTCTGTGGACCTCCTTCTTGCTGGGTGTTTCACACCCCCCCCGCATGTCAGATCTCACAGATGAACATGGTCTGAGCTCCTTAGGGAGAGCACAGCCTCTCCAACCTCCCAGATTTCTCTTTCTGCAGCAACTGGGAAAAATGCGAATAAGCAGTCTTCTTTTTTTTGCTGTCCAGGAGCAACTCTTGCATGGCCATAACTTACAATAAGAAAATATACCAGACACAATCCATCATAGCACCCTGTATTCCTGGACATCCATGCAGCTCTGTCTCAAAACATGCAGAATCCAAACCCATAAATGATGCTTTGTTCACACATGCAGCTCGGCACCTGCTTTGAGCTCAAAATTGAAACAATCTTTTGCACAAAGAGGGAGACTGTATGCTGGAAAGGGAAGATATGTGGGTATCATTGCTACCGGTGTAGCTCTTGCAAAGTGACTGGTGATGTTGGGTGCCTCAACTGTGCCAGGTCTGCAAGGCACTCAGTTTGCAGAATGTAGAGTACTTGAGGTACTTTGAGTAGTTGGGCTTTCCAAAAGTGCTCCAGAAGAAGCATCTGAAAATCAATGGAGCAGAAGTCAGTACTACTGTAGATTTCTTTTTCTGTGTTGGTTTTGGGAGTGTATTTCTTGCTTTGTGTAACAAATCCAAAGCTTTCCCATTTTAGACTTGAGAATATGAGAAATGCTAAGAAAAGACAGAGAGGTGGAAGGGTGATGCGTGACAGTGAAAACAATAGGATGATCCTTCATTTCCTTCCTTTGGTGAAATAAATAATGACAGTGTGAACAGTAAGGAGGAATTTGGATGAAAAGGGGTGAGTGGCTTGTCACCCTGAATGCCGGAGGGTGTTATGTGAGCAAATGATAGTACTGGCAGATCTGCAGGAGTGACTATGGGGAATTAGATGCAAATAGAGCATTAAAGCAGAATCACTGGGGTGATTCAGTATCCCAGGTAGATTGGGTGTGTCAGTAAAAACCAGCTTGGGAGAATGTCGTATTTGACACCTATCCCAGGAAGAGGACCAGAGCAGCAGGGGCTGCAGGGTAGGTTGGTGTTTCTTGTCTGGACGGTCTTGCAGGGAGGAACCTTACAGAGAATTGCAAGGAGAGGGGGGGACATTTTCTCCTAAATAATTTAAAAAAGAAAATCATCCCAGGTGACTTTTCGCTGTCTCAGGGGTGGACCCTATGCCAGACTTCCCTGCTGCAGCAGAGTGTAACTCAAGTGTCTCTAGACTGAGTCCCCCTTTCTTGACATTAAGGGAGCTCCGAGAGGGGCACTTTTTCCTAAGGTCTGTAAGGGTTTTTTTCCCTCTTTCTTGGCCTGGAACAACTTAAATTTGTTAACACAAGCAGAACACAGTGCAAACTGCATTGCTTTTGGGAAGGACTTAAGTGGGTGAGCCTGGGATTTCCACTGAGGAGGAAAGTTTTCTGAGAGGAGTTTATTTATGAGCAAGTTTGTAAGTGGCTTGGCTATTTGTGGGCTGATGTGTTGGCATTTCCTCTCTTTCTTTTCCCCCCAGTTTAGGAGTCTACAGCAGGCCTCCTTTAATTCGCACAAATAAAATGAGATGAGAAAAAGTATTAAAAATGTAGCTGTACATTGGAGGAGACAGAAAGAGGAGGGAGGGAGAGACTTTCGCTTCTACAACACCAGAGAATGAAAACATCTGTGTCCAGTTGACTCACTTTCATAAAGATGCACTAGACCTTAATCAAACCCATCCAGGGGATCTTGCCTGAGCTGTAGGGATTATATCAACATTATATAGCTGGCTCATGGGCAGCCATTCACTGGCCAGGTAGCTAACAGAGCTGGGGGATTTGCTTGTGTGTGACATTTTTTATTTTATTTTAAGGAGCTAGGCTGCATTTGCAAACCACAAATTACATTTCTCCACTGTCAACAATTGCAATCGTTCTCATGGATGCCTTGTTGCTCTGGGTTTGAACCTCAGCCATGGTGCTATTGCCTCTGTGCCCACCTTTCAATTGTTGTTGATCCACCATCCAACCCCCTGATTCCCTGGCAGAGCAGCCTGGAGTTAGGCAGGCATGCTGCACCTCACCTGCTGCAAGCCGTTTTATTTTTGTTGGCTTGGGAAAAGCTGTTGGTCTCAGTTTCTTTTAAAATATTTTGTGCTAAAGAGAGGAAACAAAGCCGAGCTGCAGAGCCTGGGGGCTCCATTCACTGCTAAGCTTAACTTCTTCAGGGCAGCTGCCAACAGCTACCAACACTGCGTCTTCCAGCATCTGGTGTTGGAGGCCCATGAGTCATCCTCCTGATTTCAGTGAGACTATTCAAATCCTTTATGGGCCTCAGCTGTAAATGGAGGTGGCAAATGGAAACAAAATGAAGTATAGAGATCTTCTCTTTTTTACGTGTTGCCCACAGGAGTGAATGACTTTGTTGATGTTGACAGTTCCTCCAGCCACAATATATAGTTTCTTAACCCATATTCATTAAAAAAAACCCCTTGTTTAATTTCCAAGGAATAAATAAATGGGTTTCCAGATATCTTAAATTTCAAGTTTGTTCCCTCATATTTACCAGGGACCACACTCAGACTAGGATTACTCTAAACAGCACGTGGAAAGCGTAATTGAATAGCGTATTATAAGCTGAGGTCTGGCAATGCTTTTCAAGTTAATTTGAGCAGAGAGCACCAGTTTTTGCGGCCAGCAGCCCAGCATCTCATCACCTTTTCTTGCCCCAGCCCCTTGATCTCAGGTGGATCAAATGGAGGTTACCTCCAGAAAAAATTCAAACTTGTATCCTGGGCACAAAATAAAAGGCCTAAACTGCTTTTTTGGCTTGTCCAGATGTTCTCTGTGTAAACCCACACTTAACCTCTGAACATGGTGTTGGATCTTAATAGTTGAAAAGATCTTCATACAGAAGTGCAGTTTTAAGGGCAGCCATCAATTCCCAAACATTGCAGATGGTGTGCTGGTGGCTGGACATCACTTGGACAGCCCTAAATTACCCTCTGGCTCCCAGAAACATCCCTATTGCCTAGAGTGGCAAACTGCTTCGACAGCTTAGGGGGCTTATGAGTAAAAATGTGGCAGGACAAGGGCAAACAGACAAGTGACCCCAGGGTAATCCAGTTATCCTTCAGAAAGCACCATACACATGCCCTTACTTGTGCCATTCCAGGAGCAGGTTATCTCACATTTTCTTTGGGATTAGGTATATATAGGCAGAGCTACCACAGAGTGGGTGACATGCTCAAAATGCACGCTGTTGCTTAGTTCATGGCAGCGTGTTTCTCTGCCCTTGTCTACAGCAACTTTGGGGCTATGACAAACAGAAGCTGCTGCAATGCTAACCT